TATCAACTATACTCTATCATCAAATGAAACTTGGCAAAATTTCTAACTCTAATAAAAGTTTAAAAAACGAGTTAGAAAGAAGCGAATAATAACCACTTATTAATTTTATTGTTTGGAACCAAAATATTTTTGAAGAACGAAAAGAAGCAAAGAAAGAAGCCAATGTCCAAGAGTGATTATGATGGCAAATGCATATGTCAACTATGTATATGTGGGTGAGTAAAAAAACTTTTTCATCTATCAATTTACGAGTAATGCCTTATTAATTTTAAGTGATGTTTTCGCCAAATGTTTAATGGTCAAGTGAGGCAATGCCGATAAGAAAATAATGGCAGGATAGGAGTGAAATGAGCAAGGGAATTTTGAGCGAAAAATCATATATAATTCAAAAGTTAAGGGAATTTTAAAATAAAAGAAAAGAATGGATTTACTTTTAAATAGATTTTTAAAAAATGGAAAAAAATTTTTTGAAAGATTGAATTACAAATTTTAAAGATAGAATTATCATTTAAATGAGCAAATCTGTCATTCAAAAATCGGCACATTGTGCGCTAGTCTACTTGCACTTCTAGCCAAGTGATTCCCTGACACAAATTTCTAATCGTAATAACCTGGTCCGAGAATATTCCTAGATTAAATTTGTCCATGGATTTCTTCAATTTTCTGGCAAGAAATTGGCAGTATACAATCTGAGTACAAACAATATGAGTAATGAATATCAATGGGTAATAATGGTATTAGAAAGATTCTTTTTGATATGATTAAAATGGTTCGTAACATGTTTAATTTCCTGTTTAAACGATTTAGCAATCAAAGCTGAGAGGATCTACGATATTTCTAAACGATGTGTCCGTATTCTTATACAATCTGCTGTGATCATTTCCTGACACTGTTATGGAATGTCACAGATCTAAAAAACAGAACTTAAGATTCTTCACTTCTTCACTTCTCCTTACTTATTGTCTTTGTGCATACTGGTTCTGAAAATTTTTACTTTGATGATCCTTTCACACTCAAAAATTGTTGGAGTATTTCCTGAACAGTTTTTGTTTGTATACTTCTCAAACAAGTGAAAAAGGCAAATATTTTAAACACCTTAATTTTACGTCAATGATTATGGACAGAAGGACCTATTGGAAATAATCCATCAAGATTCTGAGTATCCAGCTACTCTACTTTGAGGCTGATTTATATTACACATGCTCAGAATCAAAAATAAAATGTTTGTCCTGTTTAATTCAAATAAATTACGTTTTATTATATTTAAATTAGATTTTTTTTGGATTTGCAGATTGAACGATAAAAAAATGTACATTATTTATCATTAAAAACTCTCAATGATCTTTTTTTATATTTCAATTTATTTAAATTTGTTTGCTGAAATTATCTAAATTAACTTTAAATAAATAAATAATCAGTGCTTATCTGGTTATTAGTATGGTCAAAAATTTTTGCCAGGAGTCACTTGGTGATATAAGCATGAATGCATCTCCAGCATTAATCGTATTTTTTCATTGTAGGTTTGGTTCCGAAAGGGAGCCGAAGGGTGTGGAAGGACAAAAATTTTGCTTTCCTCGCAATAAGATAATCTTAGCCACTATTTATTTAGTAATTTTGAAAAATTAAGCCACAAATTTTTTTAAATTAATAAATTTAAGCTTGTTTATAATTTAAACTTAAAATTTAGAAATAAATTTAAATTTATTTTAAAAGGTTCTTTGATTCTAATTTTATTGCGCATATTTATTGCGCATAATGCTTGAAACTTCTGATAAGAAATAATAATGCTTCAGAATAACGAGTAAAAGTCCTTTGAACTTAGCCTGAAATAGTGGAATAGTGGTTCTCCAAAAATCCACACGAATTATCTGAGCCACAATTGCTTTTTACGAGCATATACTAGAAAAACACTCCCAACTTTCATTCTAATTGATGATCAAAAATCTGTTTTAAAAAATTCACTGCGAATATTTTTCTCCAAGAAATCCTTAAATTTCTGTTCTATTCAATAAGAGTCATTTATTACGAAAGAAAATTCATTAGCGTTGTTACCATAGATGACAATGATTGGTCGTTCGCTTGGAATAAAATTGCTGTTAGAAGTGAAATCCAAAAGTGACTTTATGGCAAAAGGGTCTTATCTAATATGCTAGCTAAACTGAAAAAATTACGAGATTTACGATTAGGTTGGTCCCTTTAAAATTAATTCTTATGCCACTAATTCTTCAATTCTCATATTTCTCATTACAAGAACATAAGAATCAATTTATAATTTAATCGCCAACTTTGTTAATTTTACTTCATTATTATGAAGGCTTATCTTGTCGAATCATTTAGTGAGAAAAAAAAGGAATTAAAAGTAAATAAATAGAGAGAATTCATCATCATTAAAAATCTGAACATTGTTTATTATTCCATAGCTTCTTCGACTTTTCTCTAATATGCTTGTAAAGAGCGGATAACCGATCTCCAAGTATAGCCAACTGGCTATATGACAAGCAAATTACGCTTTCTTTTCGAAAGTGTAGCGTTCTTCATCAATCCGAATCCGAAAGGAATTGATCTTCTTAATCTTTTTATTAATGGTAATATAATCAGTAGCGTCTCACATTCCGGTATTGGAATAATCATGGATGAAAATCTCGATTTCGACCTTCACTGTAGAACCATGGTAAAGAAATACTCAAAGATACTAAATTTTATTTAAATTTTATTTTTCGTTCCTTTAAGAGCAAAATTCAAGGTTTTCTTACCAAAATGTACAAAGCAAAGTGTTCGTTTGGTCTCTTATTGATTATAGTACTACCTGTTACTTCCCAAAAAATCGCAAATCAAATAATTGAAGGACTCCAAAAATATTTTTACGACGCCTCTCTACTAATAGCAGTTTTAATTATAAAAGAAAACATGTGCAATACAACCTGGATTTTCTCTTAGATTCGCTCTCGTCGAATTAGACAAGATTTAATTTATACTTATAAGATTCTGTACGGTTATGTTAAATTAGATTGTTCAAAATATTATAATTTTAGGCTAAATTTGAAACCAACAAGAACTAATGGAATTACTAAAACCTATATGTAAAATTAAACTAAGGACTCATGACTTCTTTATTCGTACTGTTTACTGGAATAAATTAACAAACGCTATAGCTTGTGCGTCATCCTTAGCAATCTTTAAAAAAAGATTAAATAATATTCATCTATGATATTATTTAAAAAGTTCACATTATGCAGAAAGTGTGAAATCTCGATTTTTACCATCCGATTATATATAATACAGTTACTACGGATTGCACTATACTACATTATCTTGTAATTTCCTCTTTCTTTCCTCTTCAAAATGTCAATTTTTGTCATATTTTCTTTTTTTCATCATTAATTATTTTAACTGTTGTTATTAATACAAGCACATGGCGTTTTTTGCTTTACTTGACTGGTTTTCAATAAATAAATAAATAAAAATAAAGAGAATTCAAGTAAATAAGTCACTGAACAAATTATCATTATATTGTTTTTTAGAAACCATCATTGTCCGAGAATAGAAAAAAATCCATTAATAGGAAATATAAATGATAATATAAACGAAACTGAATATGGCGCAACTTATATCCAAAAAAATACGACTCGAGAGAAGCCCGTCAAACCTAAACAAAATGAATTTAAAAATGACTGTGTCATGTCGTCAACTACGACTAATTCTGGTTCATTTTTTCCTCGATTATTTTAATATAAAAAAATTTCAATTTTCAGCAATTATTTTCAATAATTAATTGACAGAAACCGCTTTCAGTAGATTCTTGAAACAAGGCTAATAAAGTTCAAGTAAAACGCATCATTAAGCACATAAGCAGGAACTTACAATGAACAAAATGACATTTAAAAAGTCAGAATTAACTTATTCTGTCAATTTATAAATATGAAAATGGATTTATAAAAAAAATAAAAGCAAAATTTATGGTTCATTAGGATAAAAACGATTTGAACAAAAATGAATGCCATAAAATAGAAATAGCAATAAAAGAATTGCATTAAGAAACATTATTTTCCTACACTTTTGGGTAAATTTCGAATAAATAAATTCACTGATCCAAATATTGGTATAAATAATGGGTTCGATGAATTTTGCCAAAAAATAAGGGAGGAAGAAATAAAAAATTCAAATCGATGAATGATGGGCAAAGATTGATTTCAAAATATATAAATATATATAAAATATATAAAAATGAACAAAAACTATTGAAAGAAATAAAATCCAATAAAAAATATAACAAAAACTCATAATACAAAAAAAGAAACCAAATAAAATTAAGTATTTTGGGTATTCGAGATTACTTTTTAAAATTATAAATATATACCCATAAATTATTGATTTCTCATAAGCTCTTTTCTAGTAATAATAATTATGATCATTCGCATTTTGGAGTTTTGGGGAATGAAAAGTTCGAATGGATAGCGAAAAAATATTGCAAAAATTCAATAAGCAATGAATAATAAGTAATGTAATGAGTGAACATACAAATAAGGCAAGAGCAAGAACAGCGTTCCATAAATCTTTCAGCTATCTGGAAAATTTGTGAACAGTAAGCGCATTTCAGGTCGAATTATCGAAACATCTGGGTATTAAAAATGACTTTGGAACGGATAAATATTTCTCCCGACTAAAAGCTCCAAAAATTATCTGAGAAAATTAGTCATATTCTCTCTAGGAAATGCCATTAGAAAATGCGCTAGTTGGGTATTGGAGACAGTAGTCCAACTGCCCGAAAAGGCTGCCACAGCATGTATCAGAAATCGTTGGAGAGACCTAAATATGAAGGTGGAAACTATTCCAACTTCGCAACAATGACTCGATCAGCGAAATGATCTATTATTCAGGCCTAAATTATTATATAGAAATCATTTAGATGGGTTTTTTTTTTAAAGGATAACAATTCTTCTTAATATCTACCTAAAAAGATCTGATGATTAGTGATTTTAGACGATTATAAACGTTGGAAAATGGAGAGAACTGGTTTGGTCAAACCCGTTGATAATAATTTGGTTAGATTTTCGAATTAAATGGGTGATTAAAACGAAAAATAATGGAAAATTAATTAAAGCGAACAATATGTAAGATGGTCATCGAGTGGTAGTATGGTTCAAGTTAATCAAAATTTAATCCAGATTGTGCCATGGACCAATCTGCACTTCTACCTTCAAATGACTGTTGATGAAGGACTTTCAGCCAAGTGGTCAGTGGTACCAGTCATGAAAGCAAAGAATGAAATAAAAAATCTAAATGGAAAAACGATTGATTTAAGATAAATAAAGTGGATACCGTCAAATTGTAATAGAAAATTCCTCTTAATTTAAATAAAAATGAATGTATTATCTGAATTGAAACTCTTTAAATCTCCAATAAAAATAAATTTTTTCTGCTTATTGTTATAATTTAATCTTCTTAAAATTGCCATTATTTATAAATATTTCTGGCAATTTCTTCAAGGATCCGAACTTGAACTACTCAATCTTGGAAAATTTTTTTGGGTCATTCGATTGTGTTCTGCCATTCGGCTAAAATCTTTAGAAAAATTTGGAAATTTTCTGAATCGCGTCTTGACTATTGAAATCTTTATGAGATGGAATCGAATAAATAAATTAAATCAAAATTCAAGAGGAATTGTTTAAGAAAAAAAAAGATTATCAAAATTTTCAGAATTAAAGGCAAACGAACTGATGATTAAATTTACCATGAAAATTGTATCAAAAGGCTATAAAAAAGATAACTTGAATTTCTTTCATTTTCATGTGGCAAGAAAAGCCATTTATGCCTTTGCATCCTTTTGTACTACTTATATCCATAATCCTCCGCTGTGATATTCTTAGCTACTCCGACCGTTAAAATAATAATTAAAGTTAATTTATTGATTTTTAAGGCTTTTAGTGGAACGATATGCGAAAAAACAACGAATCAATCTGACTATATTCCTAAGTATGTCAAGAAAACGATTCCATTCAAAGAGTCGGAAAAAGTCGTCAAAAGTTCAGCTCCATTGAATGATAAATCAACGCATCAGTATGATTTCACCAAAAAAAAGGTGCTGATGAATAATTCAAAGAATTTTTAGATGGCGTAAAATAATTTTTAGAGGGAAAAAATTATGTATTATGGAGCGATATGAACTCAACGAAATATCTATTAAGAAGATTAATTTCCGGGTTGCAGTCCTTTAATTAGATATGTTTTGATTCCGATTCTGATTCTCCATTTCATCAATACTCAAGCCTTCCTCAAATTAATTCATATCATAATAAATTATGAAAACTTTTGATGAAATGTTTAAGGCATTGAAAAATAGTTATTATCTTCTTTATTATTTTTTTGCAAAAGTTGGTACTTTCTATGGTTATTATTTATATTTATTATATATTTGAAGTGTGAAAACTTGCAGATCGAGAAGATCAAGCAATTTAAGCCAAGTTATTCTCATTCGATATCAACTGACCCATTTAACGCCATTTCTTTATCACATCAAGATTACGTAAACCACGAAATTAATAAAACAGTACCAATAAGGCCTAGTGACGAACAAGGATTGCCAAGAGAAGCTTTTGAAATATTGCTTTTGATCCTTTTTTATGTTTAAAAATTAAAAATTAGGCAGTTAATCTAGTTTATATACTAACTTTGAAACAATCAAGAATTTATATTCTTCCTATTAGTAGAATATATGATTTAAGTAACGAAAAAATTTAACGAAGAAATTCGCTTTTGAGTAGCTTTGAAGCTCAAAAATTCCTTATGGAAACTTTTTGCAATGTAATTTTAAAAAAATGATGAAGGCTTAGCAATTCATACTGTTTAACTATTCTCTGACCACTCTAATATTGTTGATTTTGATCCAGATTGTAACGGATATTATATATTTCAACTCGTAATGATTGCTGATTTCATGGTCCAGACAGTTATGGAGCTTGTTATGGATTACAATATATCTCATGCAATAATTTTCAAAAAAAGACAATACTGAATAATTAATGATAATACTTAATATTATACAACTTCACTTGTTCCAGGCTAATAAAAATAATAAATTCAAGTACATACCTTCAGGGAACTACTGAACATCGCGCAAATTTCTATAAGAAGTTGATTCAACTTAATCGGCATAGCCGACATAATGAAGTATATCAACGTAGTATAAATGGAAATGAGTTAATGGAAAAGAAGACGACCTACTTACATGATTATGTACCAGTGAAATGTATGAGTCTTATTTCAAGAAGTACCTAATGTTTGTAGCGGATTTCACATAACGACAAAAGTCATGGTATTTTGTAGGTCATCATCAATCACCGTTCAGACCGAAGGAATCGCAATATGCTTCACATAATGCTTTTATGGATTTAACAACGCATGCTTGTGATTATATCAATAGAACAATCCAAATATGTCCAGCTCAATATGTTTTGACACGAGGGTCTCATTTAAGTTTTTTGCTTTTTCTCATAAACATAAAGAAAATATCCATCATAATATCCAGTAGTATCTAATATTTAATATCATCTTCGTTATCCAAAATTTCAGGCGAAAAAGTTTCAAGTTGGTTGGAGATTCAGGTGGACATCGATTCTATCAAAGCATCTAAATGAACAAGCATTGAAATATATTAAATCCACAGAGATTGAGATATTATGGCTTTTTTGCCTCTTTATGTTTCATGTTCCTGAAAGAAGTGTCAAGAAGTGACAAGATGAACTATTCCGCATTTCAAAATGTTAATTTAAAACAATCGCACTGGCATTGCTTTATAAAAATATCACAGGCTTCCAGCAAATATGCTTTCATATAAAGCATAAAAGTAAAATAAAGTTAATAAAATTATTAAAACCAGCAACATATGGTTATAACCATTTAGTAAAAAGATTTAAAAAAGACTTAGTGGGCAATAGAGCAAGCCAAATCAGAAATAGTGAAGCCATTATTCCTTTAGTAATGGTGAAGAGAAAGTATTAATTGCAAAACTGATATAGTTTATTTGCTAATTATCTCTGCTAGAATGGCTAAATGGATAGCAAATTATTGTGAGGCATATTGTGAAAATCCAGTTCCTTTCCCAGCCAGGAAAATTTATCATTAAAAATCCAGATAGCGCTGGCGACTCACTCGTGCTTTTGTCGTAAAATGATTTCTGGGTAAAATGAAAAATGAAATATAAAATAAAAATTTCCGAAAATACCAATAGCCAGTTGAGCTAATCTTAATGAAATGGTAAGAACTAATCACTTATTTTCTTTTTATTTATTATTTACTGAAATTTCGAAAGAGAAAAATTTATTTGCAACTTAAAAAAGAGAGAAATTGCCACAAAAATGCCGAAAAAAATTATGGGTAAAATTGCATAAAAAACAGAAAAATATGGTATAAGACCGAGAAATATTTTTATAAACATACAAATAATAAGAAAAGTTAATTAGTTATTGCTTTAAGTACATCGTATTGCATAGTTAGTGATGGATGTGGCAATATCGCGACAATAACGACAATTGCTCGTAAATTTGGTAGAAAAATTATTAAATGGAAAAAAATCTACAGCTAAATGAGAACAGCAATGAATGAATGAATCCAAATTCATGAGATCATCAAATAATTGCATGAAAATAAATAAATTAATAGTAATCTATAAGGAGAGGAAAAGGATGAAAACAAATTCCTTAAGACTATCCTGTTTTTACCAATTATTAACGAAGAAAAATTGGAGAATTTTATTCAAAGCAAGCTATCGGAAATTTAACCAAGATCAGTTTTCGGATATTCAGACCAAATTTTTAGAAATTTATTAAAAATAATTTTAAGAAGCTTGCAAGCTGATTCGCTTGGTAGAGAGAAAATGATTAACAAACAGCAAGCATTAATTGCAAATACCGAGATAAATTCACTGGAACTGGTTATTTTCATAAACTCTATATCGATAATAACTACAAGTATGGCAGCATTTTTGAAGAATTTCTGGATTATCACATCTGAAAATAATTTATTGATAACATAAGCTGGTCCAAGTGTTAGTTGGTGGATAACTCAAGGATCGTCACTGCTGTTATTTGAATCTTTAAGTCTTTAATTCTTAACTCTTTTAACTCTTTAAATCTTTAATTTAATCTTTAATTCCTGTGATTTTATTTAAAATATTCAAATATTTTGTGAATGAATATTAAAAATCAAAAAAAGAACAAGAATTTTGCTGAAACGAGTCCGAAAAACCAAAAAAAAACTAAATTGAACTGAAAACAGTGAATAAGTAAATGCTCACGAATGAAATAATTTGAGAATTTCACAATAGCGAGACTTATCCATGCATTGACTGTCAGCCACTGATGTCGAAGATATATCTGAAAGCGAATGGTGGTAAACCGTAATAGCCTTGGGTCAACAGATTAACTATCACTATAATTAGTGGTGTTTTACTGGCGTAGCTGAAGCGATAAAGCACAAGCAAATTAGTCTCTTAATTTAGTGAGAGGCTAATAGTAAATTAGTAAGTACCACAATGATAAATTTTTTAGGCGAAGTTTATCTAATTAAGAAACTGAAAAAAAACATAAACAGTGGCATACAAACAAATGAAACATTTTAACTGATCATAGTAATGAGCATTAAAAATGGGAATTTCTAAAAATTCTTCTTTAGTCAAAAATTTTGATAATTTAAAAGCTTTTATTTGAAAAATGAAGGATCAAGAAAATATGGTCAATTGAAAATCGCATTTAATTTGCCCATTACTATGGTTAAAGTGAAAACAATAATTTCATATCGTACAATTATTGCTGCTCGAATAATTCATATGATTTTAAAGAAAAATAAATTGAACTAACAAGATTTTTTAAATCTTCGAACCCTTCCTGATTCAAGAAATCTTTGTAAATGTTTAAGAGCTCCTAAAGATCCTCAAACTGATGAAATTCATATTTTCTAAGCTTCAAAAATATTAAATACTAAAAATTAGACTAAGCTATGAGATTAGAAGCCTGCGGAAATGATTTTGATGAAAAGCATATTGTCAAAGTCAAAACTTTTTGCACCTATGAACAAAAATATAGAAAAAAATAAAAAAGAGAAATAAGAAAAAAAAATTCCCTAATATCGTTTCCTAAACATTAGAAACCTAAAAATAGTTATTTAATGTTCGGCCTTAGCAAATTTGTCTCTAAGATCCCATTTATACAATCGCCAGCCACGCCAGTTTTCCCATCCCACAAACGGTTCTCTTCCACCTGTCTTGTCTATACAAGGGGGTAATTCTTTTCCATATATGCATGATCGTATCGCTGCAGGTCTTGTAGACGTTTCACAATTTTTGCCAGCAGCTTTGCGTGTTCCGCGCCAGACGCAACGAAGTAAACGCATCTGGAAAAATATTTTAGCAATCGTTTTTTTGAATGACTAAAGATTTATAATAGGCGTAAAACCAAAAGAAAACTGGTCAAACTAAAATTTTTAAAATTTTCATAAATCATAAATAAATTTCATAAATTTTCATAATTTTCATAAAACCTAATTCCTAATTCGTCTGCTCATTTTATGCCTATATAATATAAGCATATTCAAATTGCGATAAAATAATTAGGCTTTAACTGAGATGATTTCGAGAAAATCAAGTGCATTACTAAATCCACGAAAGAATGGAAGAAGTATGCAGCAGATTGCGATGAGTGAACAATTAAAAAAGCAAATCGATGCGAAAACTTTAAACTCACCTGCATTTGAACAAAAGGGTACATTCAGTATTAAAAATAGACCAACATGTAATTATCCAAAAAATTACCTGGACACCACCATCACCACAAGTTCGACTACATGATCCCCAAGTTGATGGTCGCCATTCAGCTGTGCAATTCACTGAAAATATTTCATTATACATGGTTTCATGAAATAACAACATTCATTTTTGATTTTGTTTATTTTATTGGCCACTAAGGTGAGGACCACTTAAATGGAGTTATAAGCGGGTTCTTAACGCAATCCAGGCTTTGCTTCTAGTGACAAGTTTGCTTCCAGGTCAATGAAGAAGAATTGAACCCACAATGTTTAGCGATATATTTCGACTATCTTAAAAGAAATCAAAGTGAAGTCACTTGTATTTCCATCTTAGAGTAAATCCTTGGCAAAAATTTCTCGCCAGTGCTAATAGCCAGTGCAAAGATCTTAACTAGGAATACTAAACTAACCATTACTAATATTTCGTCGAGTTTTTTCAATCAAGTCAGTTATTAAACGAATAAATTAAGATGATCCATATAAACATTCCGAAATTATTTGCTGTCTTATATTCGACTATTAAAAGCATTCTGAGAAATTATGATGAAAAAACAGAAAGGTTTTTTTTAAAACCAATAAAATATATTCTAAACATCTATTTTTCAGATAATGAATTCGAATAAAACATTAAAGCATTAAACACTAAACATTTATCAAGGGAGTCGTTCTATTTATCAGTTTAAACAAGCAATCGAGAAAGTTCTTCGAGTTCATTTATAAATTTTATATAAATAAATTGGTAAAAATTTAAGGAATAAGGAATTTAAGGAGTATAAGAAAATTTATGGAAATTTAGCTATTTTCTAATTAGCAATATTATGATGCTTGAATGAATTTTTAAAGTAAAATCATGTTGGATTCGCATCAGAATTAACTAAAATTAAAATATCATATAAAATATTTCATTAAAAAAATCCTTCAGGATTTCGGATAATTCAGCATGGTTGCGAATTGATTTTCCAGAATTTTAAGACCGCGGTTCTCCTCATCCTTCTTCTTTCCTTTCTTTTAAAAGTTTTAGGCGTGGCAGTTTGTGGAAACACAATGAAATTGAGTGATGTGAAAGTAAATAAAAACTGAACGCTGCTACCAACCGATTTTCCTATTCAAATATAATGAACAAAAATATTTTTCGGTTAAGCAATAAAAATAAAGAATGAAATTTCGCTATTTTCGAAATTTTCACAACATTTTTAAATATTTTAGAGAAAATAGCTAAAAACAAAATATAATAGGTTTAAAAAATCTAAAGCAATGGTTTTTGAAAGCGAAATCTGAGGATTCCTATGACTCTCTAATGGAGTCTTTAAGGTGAAAACCATTGCGGGATTGGGATAACAATATAAATAATAATATCGGCAAATCATATATACAAATCTCTTACATAATCATGAGAAAGCTTTATTCAAGTTTTTTAATTTTTAGTTGAAAAAATCTTCATAGCAATTTGAGAAGCATTAGTCGAAGTTAGATTTGCGTTATTTTTTTTGATGAAAAAAAGCAATTTTCTCTCCAAATCCTTTACTGTTTCGTTGAGGTAGATTTTTAAAATGGCTTTAACGAGGTGAAATAGTTTTAGTAACTTTATAAGAAATAGCAAGTGGCACATTCGATCAGATCTCTCGAAATGAGTGGAACCGTCATTAAAAGTGAAACAAAGAAAATTTACCTCTATCTACACCTCTATCTTTGAGTGAGAGAAGCCTCACTCTAAAGTCAAAAAAAACATCATGACAAACTAGAAATCGTATCTGCTATTAAAAGATCTGAAGATATGTCATAAGACAAAAATTGTGGGCAATAAATAATCTCCAGTTTCAAATTTTCAGAGTTGGAATCAATCTCTAGAAAATCCTCAGAAAATTTAAGAAATATTTAGTTATAATTTTTATAAAATTTTAAACAGTTGATTCGTGAATTATTGATAAATTTTAGGAAAAGAAGAAAATTTATAGTAATAAATGACTATCTTTGCAAAATTTATGGATCGTTTAATTTCATTTTCATCTATCTATAATAAATTATTTCTTAGATTAGAAATAGAATATTTAATTTGTTCTCAGCGATCATTTTCCATTGTGATATATAGTTCACCACGGCTTCTTAAATATTTAGTGCAGTCAAATCAGCAGATATTTGTTTGAACAATCCAAATAGAGTGGTAGGATACGAGTCCGAATGCTTCACATAGGCCGGATAAGAAAATTATTATACTGGACCAGGTAATACCTAAGGCCCATTTGTACTTCTGTTCCCAAGTGGTTCTCTTGTTTCACAATAGCAGTTACATTAGGCAACCACGGCAACCTGCCAAGCCATAAATATTAAGAGAAGAGGAAGAGAAGAGAGAAAACTATATACGTAGGGATGAAAATAAAATAGAATGGAAAAAAGAAAGTAAAAAACAATATTAAGCTTTTATATTATAGATAACCAATAAATAAGTAAATGGTTAGTGCATACTCCCTCTCCTAGTTAGATCGACTCCATTTACTGTTAATAATATGAAGAAGAGCCTTTGTCAAGGAGTAACTTGACAACAGAAGTATAGGTGCGTTACCAATACCACTCGCATCTTTTAACGATAAAGTTTATTCTTGCCAGAGGCAAGATATTAAGCCTTGGGCTCTAGAGGATAATCGAACAATCATTCAACTCTGTCTCCAGTAGTATACTACAACTTTTCAAAGAAAAAGCGAATCGAAGCATTTAATTAACTTACGATTAACACATTCTTTCTTCACTTTTGGTCGATTGCTTCGATCACACTGACTGTAGTTGGCGATACTTCCATTTTCATATAAGCATTTCACATCACGTTTTTGTAACGATATAGCGTATCGAATACAGCGAGATAGTGTGCACTAAAAGAAAATTTCAGAAAAAAACAATAAAATCCGATCTTCAAGATGAGTTACTTGTTATTAAAACCTCGCTCCATTTAGATGCTTCCCAGTGAGGACAAAGTGCAAGCGTACAACTTCTGGATGAAGGTGGACGCATCACTCCCAAGCTATCGCAAATTTCATTATCCACGTATGCAACTGAGCCTTCGTAATTCACTCGACATTTTAGTTGCCGAACCTGAATCAGATTTTACAAAATTTACGCCATTTGTTTTTGATATTCTCTTTCTCGAATGATGATTATCTTAATTTCCTTATTTACGCATATTTTTATTTCCCTTTTTTTTCGTTTTGACTCACTCTATTGGCTGTGAAAACTTAGAGGTACTTACGAAGTATGGGACGGTTATACAGCCGGGATCTAAGCATTCGAATGTATCTTTATTAATTCACTTTGAAAAATTCTTTTCAATAATTAATGTGCGATTTTTTCGATTTTTTTACTATAAATGATATGATAAGTTACGGATTCTTTATCTGCCAATGTATCTGCCTTCCTTCAACCTCACCAAACCGTTTGTCCTATTGATACCACTTATTTTATTTCCGCAAAATTGATATAATTCGCAATCTTATGGTAATAAAACATTCTTTTGCATAAATTCTGTGTTAAAACTTTTTCGAAATGTATTTAAATCATAAATCATAAACCTGTGCGCCATTAGATTTACCGCAATGGTTTTGTGAGCATATTGACCACTCACCAGAAGCGTAATCAATCTGAAATTCAGAGCTTCAATACCAGTCTCATAATACTTAAATTTATTTTTAACTTATAAACTCATTTTTTTCTCCATGGCTCTTTTCTGATTCTAGAGGCTTACTTTCTGGCGAAAAATTCTTGCAATTCTTTTAGAAATTGAGGAACTTCTATCATACTTGGGTGTTAATACTAGCGGCCAGTTAAAAGATCACAAAAAAAGAAAGAACAGAAATTTGACTGATCTGACCATTTGACTGTGTGAAGTAGAAAATACCTTGATTTTTACTGGGTCATAAATATCAGCCAATTTACCCAGCATCCTTGAATCGCCATTATTTTTCAGTGATTCGCGGATTCTCTGCAATATACTGATGCATATATCCTTGAGAAAATGAAAATGATAATTTGATATAAATCTTAAGTCTTAAGCAGTTTAAACTAGAAACAAACTATAAAGCACAAAAATCTGTAAATCTTCCAAAATAAATATGAAGTAGTATCAAATAAAAAAAACTATCAAAGCACTTCATTTTACCAACTTCAAGTATTGTCTTATCCATAAGAATATCGGTGCTATCTTGCAAAGTACTGCTAATCGGCGGTTGAAATTCATTGCTTTTTTCCTGATTTTTCTTTGATATTATATTGGAAGAAATATTGAAATATTGAAAATGAACAAGAGTGTAAAATATCAAATTTCTTTGTTAATTATCTTAAGGAATTTCAAATGAAAATTATATATTTTTCAATTTAACTATAAATGCAACCTTGGTGGAATCACGTGGTTTGAAAGCAAGCGTCACATTTCCTTGAACGTCACCAGCCAAACACGTATATACACCAGCATCCTCCATGCGAGCATGGAAGATGCGTAGTGCACCGTTTGTTGAAACTTTAGTATGCGCTATAACAAATAATACAGGTATTCGAGAAGACTTATTCTCCTTCTTAGTTGATAAAATAGGATAATAGGACATAAGAACGTATAGCTTCATTATTCTAGACAATACATAGCCACTTGAACAAACCATTAGCATTGATAATAAGACAAATGAATAAAGCTTGATTCAAGTTTATTTATTTAAAATAAAAATATCACGAATGTCTCAAAAAAAAATCACCATTATTACTAATTATTCGACCATCCTTCATCCATTGTATATTACTTTTAGTAAAGTTTCGGACAGGACATTTGACCTAAAATTTCACCCATAGAAAACTATTAATTATGATTAAAACACAAACACAAAATCAAACACAAAAAAATAATCGTGATTAATGATGACGAAAATTTATTAATTAGATGGATAATTAGTACAAAACCCCTAGCGCTTGGATCTCATTTTTTCTTTTATTCCGAAGTGACTGGTAAAAGAATTATAAAACTGTTATATTAACAAACAATGTAGCAATATTAACCAGAAATTACTTAGTTTAATTTTTTTTTCCTTAGTTTACTTGAATAGTGCATCAGCAGTAATAGTATGGAAATTTTACTTTTATTGAGGTTCCCTGATAGAGATTCGCGTGCCCCCCAATATTAAAAGTAAGTTTGCGATGATGTTTGTGCTGCTGCTCAACATCTTTCGATAACAATGATAATGGAGTTTCTCTATCACAAGATCCTTGAAAATAATCACTTATTCATTTTATATCCATATGATGACATTAAACAAACAATTCAGCAATTTTGGTTGGTTAAATTTAGGAACATTTAGGCAAATAACTGACAATAAGATTACCTAAATTGCAAATTTGTATTGTAGGCGGTTTTTCTAAATTTTTGCAAGGGGTAGGTGGGCTGTACTTGTGGATTTGCCCATCTGCAGTACGCTGCTCACAGACCACATCTCGGCGTTGTTCACCTGCATCGCAGCTCGCAGAACATTGACTCCATTGACTTACCTGAAAAAAGGATTACTGTGGAATGAAAAAATATTTTTTTTTCTGTTTTACTCTTTCTTCTATTCAAAATATCCCATCTGCAAACGGTTTAATGAAAATGAAAAATTTCAGAATTTATTCACCTTCCAAGCAATTGGGCAATCAACAAAACCACAGGCTTCAGTGTCTTGAGGCTTAGGATAAGGACACTGAGAATCAGGAAGTATTAATGTTGATTCAGGATTTCCAGCTCGTGATATACGACGAATGCATCTGACCTAAAATAAAGAATTAAAATATTTAGGAAATTTATCATAAAGTACTTATCTAGCATCAAAAATATGTTCATTTTAATATGATATGTGCTATATCTACATTATCTACATTATTTTTATGAAAATAATCAAGAATAACCTTCCGACTCCGAAGTCCACCACCACAAGTATGTGAACATTCAGACATTTTACCAATCTGAAATTAAGAACTCCAAAAATTTTTAAGGATCACAGAGACGATAATCATAAAGGAATTTTAACTGTCTAAACAAGCATTTTCTGGATATTAAACTTCCAAAACAGTGGTGAATGAAAACGGCTTTTATTTCTTCTGACAATGGTTATCAGATATTCTTAACAATAATTCATAAAATTACTCACACTCCATTCTGGAGGACAAGGATTATTATTGCATGATCGACTTATATCAATAGGTCGTTGTTTAGCATCACAAAATGACCAAGCAACCGCTGTTTTGCGAGTTTCATCGATACATTTTAAAGTAGATTTTTGTTTTCCTGAATTTTGTTAAAAGTATGGAATGGTGTAAAACGTTGCAAAGAGCTAAAAAAAAGTACTTCAATATAGTTAATTTTTATTCTCATTTTATTTGTTGCCGAATTTTCGCCAAATTATTACCGCTTTATTGCTGAATTGAAAGGATTTTATTCAGTTTTTTTTCTCGAAAAGACATAATCACCAGGCATAAACGAAAAAATAGAAGGAAGAAAGTTTTGGTCCTATTTTTATCAACCTTTAAAATATTTAATATTTAACAAGAAATAGAAAATTCTATCGTTAAAATGGAACTGCTTATATATATGTATGTTCCTAAACATCTATAAGAACTTGCAGATAGTCCGATAACTAGGAATACTCAAAGGATTAAATGAGCATCAAATAAAGTTGCCTCCAAGACAAGAAGCCGAGCATTGAGTCCATTCTCCGTAATCCCATTTAAAGCCACGAGATGAAATCAGTTGTGTCTCACGGGTCGGTGGCTCGTCAACCGATTCACTCAACGGACATTGTCGAATTTGACATGGTTGGAATAAGCTTGGTTTCTGGCTTCCTAATAAAATATGTTCATAAATAGTTAAATAAATATCACAAATAGTCAAAATCTTCTAAACTTGGCAAATTTGCTTCCAAGAAAAATAGAAAATTATGGAAAAATTATGGATTATTCAAATTGCTTTTTTATTTATTACTTAAATTTAATCTTGAACAGAATAAGCATGCAATTGTTAAGCATTTGTTAAATACCTTCGCACTCATATTCAGGTAATTTAATTACTTTTGACGTTAAGCCTTGAACGGCAACACATTCTACAGCTCTGGTCGAAATACCTGGACCGCATGTAACAGAACATGGCCCCCACTGTCCAGGATAGAATCTTAATTTGAATATTCTGGATTACAAGAAAGTGAATAACAAACAATTGAAGAGTCAAAGCGTATCTAAAGTCTGTTAAAAGATGTTGTTAAAATGTGTTGTAATCTATCAAATGATTAAGTATACCAACAAAAAACTTCGGAGCAAAGATTTATCTTACCTTGGTTGAGCTAGTCCATTCCCAAACGGGGTAAATGACAGCCCATCATGTTGAGCATTATAACCTTCCCAGTTATTGAACGGAGCTTGAGCGACATAACTGAAAGAATAAAGAAGCTTTTACAAAAGAATTCCTTCGTGATATTAACAGTTTATTATTATTGTTCAACTTATTATCTTACAAATTTTGCAATCATTCCTAAGAATCTTAGGTTATTTTTTAGGTTCCTTCTAATTCTTCGGCTTTTCATTCCTTTATTTCTTCTATCAGTATAAATCATTTCTTTGTCAATTGACCCCTGACCCACTTCCAAAAAGCTTAAATGATTTCATTAAAAACTGAAGCATAAATAAGAAATCACTTTAAATTATGAAAGTGCATTGTCCCGTCAAACAATTGCCTTGTCTATTATTTTTCAAGAATGCTTATAAATAATTAAGCTACTTATTCCGCGCTTCATTCTATCAAATCCATAATTTATCATGTAAAAAGAATGAACAAAGAATCAGTCCTCTGTGATCTAAATGAAATTAGCAATGAAATTCATTATAATCGTGCTTCTTAAGAAATATGTCTCAATAAATTTCTTGAAAAAATTTTTTCATGTTTATAATATTTGGTGATAATACTCAGTAGCTAAATCGTTTGATTCATAAATATATATAAATATTCATAAATCTGAACAAAAAGACTGAGACTGATTAAACGGTTATTGGCTTTAAATCTTCATGAAATCAAAAAGTTGTAACGACCAACTTGACGAGAATGTTGCTTAAGTCATATGCTATATTAGACATGTACCTACATATACTAGCAATGATGACAGCTCTAAAATTTAGCTCTAAAATTAGCCTGGAAAATAAGCCAGAGCAATTTGCTCGCAGAAAAAGAGAGTTCTTTTTCAAAATTTCAGATCTCTCCGAATGACAGAGGTTCAAGAATTCTAATTTATTTACGACAAAAACTGAATGAACAATAGAAATGTAGTATGAATTGAAAGAATAGAATAGACGATTCTATTGTAAAATTATCAATGAAACATAAAAAATTAATAAATTACAAAAATAAAAATTAGCTTAATAAAAATAAAATAAAATAAAAGAAAAGTTCTAGTCATCAATTAAGATTTTATTAGCAAAACAGTTAGAAATCGAGAAAAAATTCCAAGCATATATAACACAGCACATGGATTGCATTCAAAAAATCAAATCAGAAGAAGAGAGATAATATATCGCCAATGGATGTTTAGGCCTTAATAATGCTTTCAGCAACACATTTCCGTCGCTATCCTTTCATGGAAATAAGCCTTATTATCTATTATTATTATTAAATGCTGGTGGTGCTGAGGACCTATCTTATTTTTATTTCTAAAATTATTTTTTTATTTATTTTTATTTTTAATTTTTAATTTTAATTTTTTAATTTTTAATTTTAATTTTTAAAATTTTATTTTTAACTCCCTAGCGAAAGTAACTTGTAGTAAATAGAGTCAGGCAAGGCAAAAATATTGGTACTGGTGTTGTAGGAAGAAAAGTTTGTGTTATTTCAAGTGTGGATTACTCTAAAGATTAAATTTTTTTTGAAATTTTATTTCTAATTTTATTAGTTCCTCTAAATATTTAACAAGTGATATAAAAAACTTTTTTTTATCCGAAAGCAGCAGGAAAGCAAAAAGTTTGGAGAATTGAAACGGTACTTCATTCGGGTATTTGTAGATTTATAGCTGAGCTAATTGTCTTGAGGTTTCGTCAATCGCACCACACTGCGCCACACTGTTAAATGCACCATTTAATTCACTGATATGACTATACATCTTTATTGATTTGACTTCTGCCTAAGTCAATCATTTGAAAAGCTAAAATTTAGCGAAACAACAAACTTTAAGATTTTTCAATTCCCCAATGTGTTTTTATGTCGAATTTTTTTTTTTGTTTTAGACGACAACCGCGAACCGGAAAATAACAATTATTTCGATTAATCTTCAGTTGATAATATTATATAATTAGCAATACAGGAATCGTATTCCAATCAAGATTTGCGAATATGCGATAACTTTAAAGACGTAGCAAATTGTAGAGCGAAAACAGTCGGTCAAAAATTTGCAATCATATTATTATTAACTGGCTGACAATAGAGACAAGAGCAAATGACGCGATGGTAGAGTAGCATATTGCTTCAATCAAGATCGGGTTAACAATTCCTTGCTTTGACGGAGTAAATCTGTCATCAAAGCTAAATTTCGAATGACTCGGCTATATTTCTCAAGTGGCTGAGAATTTTTCGTCCTAGTGACAGCTAACGAAACAAAAAATGGTGAGTTACCCCACTTTTCTTAAAAGAAGAAAATTTATGGAAACAAAAATTAATGCTGCTCAAAATTTATCCATTTTTATACGAGCACTAACATTCTTTTGCTTATATATGTGATTTTGGTACAATCAAAGCAACTTCGGATATACTTCTCGTGCTTTAATCTTTGATATGAAATATTGAATATGAAAACTTAATTAAGCTTAGTGAAAGGGGAGAAGAAAGCAATATTTTTGATAAATAAGGATAGATGAAAGAATAAATCATATATTTTATAAGTAAACAAACATTGGCTCATGAAGTCATAAAACTTGATATTCAAAATAAATTCTGAGATAAAACAGTTAAAAAATATAATAATAATAGTGGCAATGATACTAATAATAACAATAATAAACAATAATAGTGTTAAACTATATTAAACTAATATTAGTAACAATACAATACCAATGTTGATGCTAATAATAAGAATAATAATAAATTGAAATGAATGAATTAGCCTCGGTCTGAACGAAATCAAATGTATGAAATCAAATTTGAATAATTAAATGTATAACTAATAGGCCTAATAAACTGACGAAGCAAAAAATATGTAGCCATGATTTTTTTCCGTTTATCAAGGCATTAGTATCTTATATTTATTACATACCTTTGTATATAGAGTCCCTTATACTTATTATACCTTATTACATACTATACCTTTAAACACCACAATTAATTTGATTTGGCTGGTATGATTCACTGATGAGGAGAGGTCCTTTTATGAATCAAATGAGAAGAGAGTAGAACTGCCTATACGAGTCCTAGTTCCACAAAAATTTGGCTTTTGGTAAATAAGCTTATCCTCGTCAAGGGACGGACCCATGATGACAGTCCAAGCAATAATCCACACAGCAATTTTGGCTAATCACGAAATTTGAGTTTAAAAATAAATGGAAAATTTCTTATGTACTAATGACGAAATAATAGTAGGACATCCTTAAAGATTTCAAAGGGAAGAGGTGATACATAAAAGATGTTGAGGGCCTTAAAAAAATTTGTTTATATTTTATAGGATCGGCGCTTTTGAAATATTGTGCTCCTGAATCTTATTTCCTGCAAACGATATGGGAGAACAAATGAATGCTTTAACTTTGGAAAAGCCAAGATTAATAATGTCGGATGCAAAAATCATAATTTTATTTTTGAGCAAATTTTTTGCGGTTTGACACGCAACTTATTCTTTTTTCGAACCATCTTAACTGCCAAATTATATTTTTATGAAAATATAATTTCGAATTTGAAATTAAAATTTTTTTAAATTCTTTGAGGCAATAAAGATATATGTATGCAAATAAATTGTTTTTTCGAGAATTAAATTCAACGAAGACTGGACTAACAAAGCATTAATCTTACACTTATTACATAAATCTTGTGAGCTTATAACTCTAAACTAAGATGTAAAAATTGACAGGCGTTATTCATCAATTAAAAAATTCTGTAGGAAAAAATCCAGCAAATTTAAATTTGCAAATTATATGACTGCAAAAATTATAAAACTTTTAAGGAATAAGCCTCTACTCGATATAGGAATAGATATAGTTATAAATATTATAAATAGTCATAGTTATAAATAGTTTTGAATAGGATATTCAGAACTGGGTAAATATAGGATAGTTTTATACAGGACGAAAGCTATTGAAAGTGGTCATGGCTATAGGTTAATTTTCAAAGTATAGAATTAATTGGCAGTCATTGTATGCATGGATAAAAAAAATCAAATAGATAAATCAAAATAAAGAAAATTCAACACTTTCAACAAAATTCAACAAATAAAGAAAATTCAAAAATTCTTTTTTGGTTCTTTTAAAATCGCTAAAATCGCAAAGAAACTGCCTAAATTTGTTGAGCTTTCGGAAATCTCTGACCTATATAATCCAAGCTTTTCAAATTTTTTTCATTAAAAAACAATTTGCATGCTATATTTAGCAATTTTTAGCCATTTAGCAGCTGCAAATCTCCACAGGTCTAGAAAAAAAATAACTATGTAAAACACATAAAATTCCTGTTTCATCTCGACTTATAATTAATTTTCGGTAATTGATGAAACTTACGAATTCTGCGTGAAAATTTCTGTAGGCGAATTCAAAAAAATCAAGAGAATTGCTGACCAAACAACGCTCAACATATTAAAAGCCAAGAAGACTAAATTGAGAGTACATCCTAAAGGCGTGGCTGGTTTCAATATTAAGAATATTTTCAAATATGTCTGTACAAATAAATTTTGCCTTGGCCCCATTTATTCCTCTTTGCCTCTAGGCAATGTTTTAAAAAAGTACTATAACCATTTTTGGTTAGGTTCATATCCACAAGCTATTAGGACAATACATCTTCGCCAGACAGTCAATTGCAGATAGAAGTTTAGAAATTCAGCTGACCTTGGATCTTTTAATGACAGATTTTCTCATACGAGGCAGGAGCTGAGGAGATTTAGTGCTTGATAAAGATAGTCTAAGCAATATATTCGGCTATGCTATCTTTTATTAGAAAGTATATTAATCAGAATTTACATTTTACATAGATTAAAATAGATTACATATATATATATATATCCGTGACTTATTTGAAGATGATAACAAAAGGAAATCAAATTATAATGAATTATTAACTTTTAAATTGCGGAGAAAAGGCTGATTTTTGTCATATCATCTATGCTTTTTTTGTTTGGTAATTTGATTGCAAACTTAAAATGAAAAGGAAATAACAAAAGAACATTGATTTACAGGAATATTAAGCCGCATGCGATGAAAACAGAATGAAGGAGTGTGGAACCACCAGCCAACAACTAAAGTACCGCGAATGAGAAAGAAGCCATGAGAAATGTTAGAAAAGAATAATAAAATTTTTGGATATAAAAATATGTAAAGACTTTTGAAGGATCGTTATGAATTAAAAGATGTTCGTTGTTGTAAGAATTCCATCATACAAATAATATCCATGAGGGAATTCTTATGGTTTCCTATGAGAAGAAATTGGTCAGTGTTGCTATCTGGAAATAATGAACGAAATGAATTGAGTGAATATATATTTTCAGACAAATTGAGTGAATATATACTTTTTTAAGATTAGAATTTCAGCAATTTTTTAGTAAATAATAAGTACATATTATTAAAAATATCAAATTCTTGTCTTCAGCATTTTATCAACTTGTTTGCTTTCAATTACTTTGCTTTACTTAACTTTGGCCAATAATTTTAGTAAAGCGCCATCTTAAGAATCATATAGCACGATGTATAATTCAGGTTGCTAAAAGCATCACTATGTAAATAAAGCAAATAAGAAAAATTTTATGAAAATTTATCTTAGGTACCCAAGTCTAAAGAAGTCTAAAGATAATAGAAGCAACGAAGAACGCGTATTACGAAATCCTTGTTTGCTGGATGGTATTTGCATCAAAGTTATCTAAATCCGATCCTAATTTTTTTCTTTCAGATTTTTCGATTTCGATCGATTTTGATTTCTAAGCTCTCTTGCGGTTGTCACTATAAAATATTAATTCTAAAATGGGTTTTAAATATTCGTTCAAAATCTTAGCAATAAATAATTCTTTATTGAAAATTTTTTATTCTTTTATGCTTTTTCTAAAGTTTCTTTTTAAAAATTATGAAAAAATTGGAAGCTAACTTATAATATGTTGCGAAGAAATTAAACACAAAAAAGTTGAAAGTTACAAATTTCTTCAGGAAAAATTGAAAACAGTAAGTTCTAAAAAGTTTTTAATCAATTTATTTTCTAGAAATCGGTTTGAAAGGATAATTTTTTTCTTGAAGATTCAATTCAAAGATGCACATAAAGGATGGAAAAAAGCTGAGCAATTATAAAAACAAAAGCCATTAAGTCATTTTTTAAAAAGTCTTCTGAAGTTTTTTAATTTTTTTGCATTCAAAAATTACGATGATCGTAATCGTTCTTATTCAGTTAACCGAATTCATCTGAAACTTTGCAGAGTTATTCATAGTTGTTCGTCGGTGATCTTATCATCTAATCTATGATATCACTTGTATGATATCACTTATTTATCAACCTTTAAAGCCTTTGTTAAAACCTTATTTTGACGAAAAAATTTGCTATTGAATCTGTTTTTTTCCAAATTCCGTAAGAGCCTAATTCTTTTCCTAATTCTCTAATCCTTAAATCCGAATGTTCCTCTTTCAAACCTATTCCTTCCCAAAGTACCACATCCTCGCTAGTAATATTCTAACTATACTAAAATACATAGATTTGATCTGAATTTGAAATGCATTCTTTTCTATCCATTTTCGTCAGATTATACATCTATTTTCTTATTAATAAATATATAACTTATTAAATGTATATCTATAATAAACATCCAAAAAAAAATTGCAAATATTTTCGAAACATGCAAAAAAATATTAATTTTTCTCTTTACAGTTCCTTTAAAATTTTAAATTTCTTTTAAAACCCTATCGCTTTGCATATTTTCGATATTACTAAATATCGAAATGTTCCACCGAATAACCAATCAGCCGAATTTGTTTGTTTTACATGAAAAATAAAGATCGACTTTTATCGACTTCTCCGATAAGAAAAAAATCAAAAAATAGCGATAAAATTTAAAAAATCATAAATAGAAATCAAATAACATGAATATAAGTGTTGCTATGCAATCAAAATTATAGTGAAATTATCTCATGGGAATGAAAAATTCAATTCAATCTCAATGGCTTGAAAGCTTTGACAGAGAAGTTCCATCTTAATGCATTCAACACTATTGCAATTTTAAATCATTTTTGAGAGGTTAACCAGTAGAAGAAATCTTCCATCTATCAGATTTGGAGAAAAAAATGGTCGATCATAAAAAAAGATATCACCAAATTGGAACGACATTGATATTTTTAAAGATCTAAATAAAAAAAAAGAAAAATAGGGAGCTAAATAGGAGAAACTTAATTTGTTCCAAAAAATATGCTTTTTCACGATATTTTTAAAATTATTACGAAGCTCGGCTATTATTTGATAATTTTTCTTCATCCAACAGCACTCGCATTGCAGTCACATAATCACTTGTGGATAGGAAACCTGTCAAAATAAACGATTTCTTCGTAATTTCTTAGATTTAATGATTCACTTGATTGCTATCTACTTTTTTTACCAAAAAAGATTTAAACGAACTTAAGCCATGAACTTAAATATTTTGATAAAGCATTGGCATATTTTCACTATCACTGTCCATCAGTAGGATATATGCGCTCTTTCTACTAGTTCAGATAATATATATTTTGTTCTTACCAGTTATATCAACCATGGATATTGTTTTTAAATATGGCAGCGGATCGGAAAGAATGGAAAAGCCTTATCGTTGTAGCTAGGTAATCAGTTAAAGTGCGATACCTATGAAGAAGAGACGGAAGGAATATTTTAGTGTTCCTTTTTAAAACTGACTAATAAATTCAAAGAATAAAGTTTTGCGAATTCTATGGTAAATTCGATGATCAAACTACGACTGAAATTGACAGATGTTGAGGCAAAATGACCTCTACTGTCAATAACGATTAAAATTATTTATTAACATATAAATTGGCCTTTGTTCGCCATTTGTATTCGACCTCAAATATAGTATTTTGGTTTGGTCAAATAAAACCAAATTTCTACATTTAAACGAATTATCTGCACCAACGTAAATTTTTCTGTATGGCAAGTTCATTCTAGGCCTATAGCAGGATTATTTCAAGGTTGAGCCTTTCATCGAATACTAAGCCATGTTATTATAATAACATTAATCATAAATATCCATAAAAATCAAAATTTTAGATTTTTAGCTTCAAATGGTACAATTTTTCTAATAATTATGAGATTTTTTTCGCAAGTGCAATTTTTAGAATTGATATGAGTCAAGATAATAATAAACCTACAAAGGTCATAATTTTAATTACAGTACGATGAAAAGGAAATGCGGTTTCTTTGATTTACGACGGATTTACGACATATCTTATGTAATTCCAAGAGATTAGTTAGAATCGATTTTCCAATATCTCATTGAAGATTATATGGTTCCTAAATTGAGCGTAAAAAATTCTCTAAAGCTGATATTTTAAGAAAATTCGTCTGCAAATTAACCATTGGAATTGTTAATTATACTATAGAAATTAAGCACATACCTGTGATTCTATAAAAACAGTGTTGCTTAAAGGAAAGGTTGCAAAATGGAAATGGAAATTTAACTCTTCTTAATTTTTGCTACAATCTTTCTAATTTTCGATATTTTGGAAGAAAAAAACTAAATGAATGAAACTTACCGAAATCTGTCGATCTGTGGATTAGGCAAAGCATCCATTACTAAAATTGGTAATAGTTTATTAGCGGATATGCCTTTCACTTTTCGGAATAGCGTATAAATATCCTGAGGCTATTTGGCAAAATACAAAAGGAGAAAAATTAAATGATAAGCAGATAAGCAGATTAATTAGGAAAAAACTAGAATGCTCCTAAAATTGGCGAAAATTCAGCTACTGACAAAAATTAACAATTTTGCAATTTTGCAAAAAAATAAAAGAGCTTGAAATAATAATAGAAGTAGTAAATTTATGAAAAACTGTTGATTAAAACTATTAAGCTATAAAAAAAATCCAATCTTGATGTAGGGAACTATACGAAATCTGATTATCGTCTGGCAATTGAAGAATCTAGCAGAAATTATGAAAGATGTTTCCTTGAGGAACAGTTCTATAACTATAAGAACTAGCTTCATCTGCAGCTTATATGGAAATAAAATTTGGAAATTTGACCCAGATTGAATTCAGCTGAAAAGATTCTGAATAATTCGAAGATTTTCTATCGAAAAGACCGCAATCGATTTATTGGAATAAATGAATATGCTAATATGGTATGCTTTATAATATTGACTACCTGGATTTGCTGGGCACTTAATTCCTGTAAAGCAAGGTTGATGATCATCAGGTCTGTCTGTCTTCGAACAAATCATATCATCGACTCGTTCATTTTCTTGTCGACATTCAACCTGAATATTTGATTCTTCGCATCGTTACCTGGCAAGGTAGTCATCGAATTATTGTTTTTTTTCTTACTCATTCTGAACTTATCGCACAAAGACTATGTTTGATATAGATCATTTGCCTTCAGCTAATATTTTTTAATCGATACAGTCAAAACATGAAAATTTAACTGATGGCGCACCAGTCTAACGCGAAATCCTTTGCCGCATGTCACTGAACACTGGCTCCAGTCACCTTTTTCCCATTGTGGACATTGTGATGTGCCACATTTCCTTTCGGCAGTCTAATTTTACAATGTTTTAAGATTTTAAGATTTTTAACATTTTCATCAAAATTAAGGTGAATTTAGTTCCAAATTCAAATTTCGGCAATTTTTTCGAAATTAGTTAAGCCATTCATCACTTTGCTTACTGCTTTCTAAATAAATGTGGCAAAAATCATGGCAATGAATGTTAAAAATTACGAATAAATTATAACTAAAACATAAATAAGAATATATGAAATACCATACAGGACGCTGTTTTTGCCAACAATATTTTTCAGCAACATTGAGATTTTCATTAAAACCCTTTTGGTCGTTATGGCTTTCAACACAGTAGATAGCTCGAGATTGGAAACCACCACCACATGTCACACTACATTCGGACCATTTGCCTGTCACCCACCTGCAATCAACAGTGTAATTGTCCTATCATTGGTTTAAATTACAAGTAAATTTAATGAATTTAAGTAGAAGTTCAACTTTAGTGCTCAGATTATATATTACAAGGATCTTCAGCTAACGAGTCGGTTACTTTCATCAACAGCCTGATTAACCTAATAATTTGATATTTGATATTGAGAATATTGCTAAATAATTGCCATAAAATATGACGCTAGCATAATTATTATTCTGAATAACGACATATAATGAACAACCAAAATTTTCCAAATTACTTAATTTATTCAATTAACCACTTACCTTTATTTATTGAAGAAAACAAGCCAAAATTCATATAAAAAATTAATTACCATGCATAACGAAAATTCGCACTAACGAAAATAATAATAGCAACAACAATAGCAAAATGATAATAAGGAATCGAGCAATAATCACTATGAACCAATTTTTTTCATAAAAATATAAATTACCAGCAATTGTGTGAAAACTATGGACAAATTTAAATATTTCCCAGGAAAATTTAAAATATTCACGAAATTTAGAAAATTTATGAAAATCAAAACAATATGAATAGGAATTCAGCAATATCCGAGTTCCTGCTGGACTTAAGCTTCTTGAGTAAGAACTAAGTGAATATATTTTCATATCTATCACTAGTGTGCTATATGTACTAGGAGAAAAATTACTTTTCGAAGAGCTTTTTACGCAAAATAATTTTAAAAATTTAGGTTCAAAACTTCTACGATTCAAGAAAGAAAGAAATCTCAAGTTGATTCATTCTAAATAATTAGCTGTACCCCTTTTCTTTCATTCTTATTTTTACTCCACCACTTTTCCTCTTCTCATTTGGAAATTGTGAAAAAAATTATGGAATTGCGAATGCTAGAAAAGCTCGTTGTTCGAATTAAAGTTGAAGCTAATCTAGTTTAAAAATAATAATTTCGCCTTTTTTGATTCATTAAATCAATAATTAATTTTCGCTTCAATATTTTTTTTAACTAGCGAAAGACAACTGCAGCATTCATTTTCAAGTCACATTTAAGCATTTTAAGCCAATTTATGTGCTTTGTGCTTTGCAATAAAGTGTCTCTTATTTCACCTCAAACTTGCTGAATCCTAACGAAAGCCTTTAGCCAACATGCAGCCTAGGTTTTTCCTGAAATTTAGCGAGCTTGAGAACCATTCTGCAGAAAAATTCGAAAACGATATGCCATGTTGAATTGCTAATTTCACTCATTAATGCACACTAACAGATTCATTTCAATTGAATTCATTTCTAGTTCTGAATTGAATTCAAACTTGATAGCTTTCAGCATCCGATGATTGGCTTATGCGGAAAGAAATTTTCTTTCTCGAAAAGCTTTTTTCGTTTTTAAGCTGAGTAAAATGGAATAATTTTAAAAAATCATATAGGACTAATAAATCGCTAGCGCGAACATCACAGCAATCCTAATAACACTCAAACCATATACCATATTATAACTGATTCGAACTTTTACCGGCAGCTGAAAATTTTACACCAGTAGATTAGTGCAAAAAAGTCAAAATAATGATATAACAATAGTGACATACATATTACTATTAAATAAAAATATTAAATATGATAATAAAAAGAAAAAAATAATTTACGCAAAAACACGATCGCAAAAGCAAATAAAACAATGTATTACTGGATTTTAATTTTTTGCAACTCACTGATGGGAAACGATTGGTCTAAAGATATTTTACATATAAGTAAATTCTTTTTGTAGCGTGTTAATAAAAATAGAATTCTTGGTCACCAGGAATTTTAGACGAAGTATAAAGAAGAAAATTCACAATACACGAATTTTATGAAAGTTTCACTGTGCTTATAACCTTAGACTCGTTGAAATTCAATTAAATTCTAATCTTATTCGATTGATTAAATTGGTTCTATAGAAAAGCATACAGTTAGATGGAAAAGCTGGATTTTGAAATATCACCATTTTTGACGAAAAAAATCAACTGAACTCAACTGTACTAATTCAAGAAAAAGCTTATCTTCTTACTGATTGTTAATTTGGTGGATGTAGCTTTCCTTTTAAGCTCAAGTGATTCTGTGACGAGAAAGCCCTCATCCTAATAGCCAAAGCGAGTTCTACCAGAAATTGTGCTGCAGGAAATTGAGGAAATTGTGCTTGACGAACATTTATGTCAAAGTATCATTTCATTTGAAAATATTAATGTGAAGAGAAAAATAAATTAATCGCAAATTCTTAATTTTTCCGATGTGCTTTATTATTTTTTTACTTAACTACTATCATCTATCATAATTTAGAATTATTCGTTTTTTACTATTCGATTTGCCCTTTATAATATATTGAAAAATTATTAGCTGATCAGTCGTTAATCAGTTAATTAATTAATGAAGCAAGAAATCGTTTAATAATTATAATTCAGATAATTGCGTATTATATTTTAATGAAATAATCATTCGACAAATATCTGTGATACAATTTTTTTTTAATATATTGTCGATAAAACTCTCACCTGAATTTCTAAATGACTCTCTGGAAAATTTCATTTAATTAATCGAAGCCAAAAATTCAGAAAAATTCAATTCTGTTCTATTTAAACTTGAAAAAATAATCAGAAGAATTAGGGAAATTTATTCAAAGGAGACTGGGACGCTTTTTTCCTCAAAAAATACAAAACTTACTGTGTTGGACAAACGATATGCGGACATTTCTCGACAGTTGGTCGGGGACGGCGTTGATCAGCACAAAGCCTTTCAGGAACAACTCGACCTGTCCGATTATTTTCACACACCGAAACAGAAACACGATATGCTAGAATTTCTTTTTTGCGAAACTTTGACGATTTAGGTACTTATTTAGCCAATTTTTTATTATATAAAATATTCACACGGATTTCGCAGGCTTTAGTATATTGAACTAAATTTTTGTGATGAAACTTAGAAACCAACATAAAATAGTTCTCGAATTTTTAAAAAAATCAAACCATTTGGTCCACAAGTCGAATCACAAGGAGAGAACTGATTTGTATCCTTCCATCTAAACACGGCTCGGCTACAAGTACTACCGTTTCCTCCACATATACCACAGGGATCATTCCGAGCCTTCGACCCTATTATTCCATCACAACCGACAGTCTACGACAAATTAAAATTAAAATAAATAGAAAATTGGAATCAGTGCAAATTTTTTGTCTATAAATTCTAATATTTCGGTAATTCTTTCTAGCAAAATGTATTCATACTATTTCTAAACTAGGGAGTCTTAATTATTTATGAAGTTATGAAAATTTGGAAGATCCTTATAATCAAAAAGAAAAGAATTTTTATACTATATGAACAGATTTCATCTCAAATATTTGGAAGTTACTTGACAATCGAGTGCAAAATGGCTCAGGTTATCGCGTTGAAATACAAAAGATCCCGTCCTTAACACTAAACTTACCCCTAAAAAATTGGAGTAATCTTCATCTATGCTATTGCTATCGTTAATCGGGTCGTCAACAAGAATTTTTAATATACTAACAACCAGCTGAGCTAGCCTAACCAGAAATGGTGAGTAACCATCAAATTATCTTTATTTGGCTAGAATTAGGCCAGAAAAAAAAGTAGTTAAAACAAGTAAAATGGTATAAAATGGTAGCATTATTATTGCAGATTTAGCAATAAAATTATAAAAAATAGAGTGAAATTATTTAGAGATGTATAAAATACTAAGATGCATGACGTATATGGAAAATTTTGTTACCTGGCATTTGCCGCTCAAACAAACAGAATTATTATATCCTTCTTTCTCGCAAAAAACTCCATCCTTTACTTTCTCTAACTCTCGTTTCATTCCTGTCTTCAATGATCGGCAAAGTATAACACACTAAAAAGGAACAAGGATAAAGAATGAAGCAAGAATAATAAAGCATTTGGATTCAAATTTCATGTAGTTCAATAATGATAACCTCATGAACTTCAGCTGTCCACCCTTCTGCAGGCACTTCAATTGTTCTTAAATCTAATTTGGAACATTTGTTGTTGACTTCATGAGAAGTTGAAGTTTCTGCAAGGCAGGGCTACAAAAAAAAAAATATTTTAGCCTTAACGATTGATTAAAACTGTCACTATTTCTTATTGAGAAATTTTCATATCATTTCCATTCATAGGGCTAAAAAAAAAATTGTAAAACTATGAAATTCGGAAATTTAGTTTCAGAGGAAAGTGGAAAATGGAAAGTAATACATTGGCAATTGAAAAATTCACTGATAACCTGTAAATTGCACAAACGTTCTCGATGATCGGGCCCAATACAACGCAAATCGAGACATTTACGCAGCTGATATGATATTCCATTTCCGCACTACAATTATTCAAAATTTTTTGTTCTTCTCTTAAAATCTGGTAGATTTGACCTTTTCAATAATTTTCAGGCTAAAAGTTGGACCTTTATTTGGAGATTTTGAAAATTTCAATAAGTAAAATACTTCTCGAATTGTATAAATTTATATAACTTTATTATCTTCATAACTTTATCTAGTTTCGCTCTTTTTTTCGCTCTTTCGTCGGCTAGTTCTTTTATTTTCGATGTATTTTTTTCTTAACAAGAAACAGTATTTTGCAGCATGTAATTAATTAAATTAATTAAAATTCTCTGTCAAAGCTGAAATTGAAACATACTGTTGATGAACAAGGTCCCCACTCCGACCATTTAGCCCAACCTTGAATATTTGGAATTTCATCTCGTTTTTCCTCAAATTTTTTGTGTAAATTATATAAGTTTTGTTATTTCTTGAATATTCTTCAAAACAAATGAAGATGATCAAGGTAAAATAAATCCAAATTCCCGTATGCATTCGTGGCGTTAATGCAGTAAAGATAAACGTATTAAACGGCCCGTTTTCTTTATTAACATTTCGTTTTCGACAGTTTTAACTTTCCTGATCGCTCGAAAAAACTTTTATGGTTTATTTTTTCGTTGTTTGCAAGATGTTTTATCATTTATTTTTAATTTAATTGGCTACGAAATTCTCTTTATTTCCATAAAATCTTTGTTCATAAAGATCTTATGAATTAGTTATAAGTGATAAAATCATAAATAAATGTTGGAGAAGTGAGCAGATTCTAAAATTCATAATCCCTCAACTCAACACAAACATAATCCCTCTCCCTAAAATACCTTTTTCAGTATACGAATAAAAATATTTTTGCAGATTCAGATAAGTTAAATGAAAAATTCACTTGAGTTAGGTATGGAAGAGAGATGATTACCAGTAAAATTTGTAATATCATTTCAACATGAACAGTCTTTGGGCAATGGAAATCGCCATCTGTCCATCAATCTACAAATAAAAAAAAAATAAGTTTACATATTAAATAACATTGTTTTCAGTAATATTATAGAAGTTTTCGATTCGATAAGATGAATGCCTCGCAAATAAATAAAAATTGACCCACTATTTCCAATTGGACTAGTCATCTGGCCTAGCCGTTAAGCTTTTAATAAATAGAAATTTTTGTCAGATAGTTAACAATAGAAGTGCATGTCGATCAACACTCGGACTTTTTAATAACAAATTTACTCCTTTCAAGGACTGGTGCCGAGCCCTTACCTCTCAATATCTAAACATCTATAGAAAAAGAACTTAATTTTTTCAGTCAAAGGCGAAAATATAAAATAGTATTCTAGTATTGTAGTGTTGTAGAGTATTGCAGAATAAATCTCAAATCATTATGTCATTTCTCTTTAAATTGTGAAACACAATAACTGTAATTTTAAGCCTTCAAATAAATAGATATAAAATATCAAATAAATAGAAAGTAGAAAATAATAAAATCATTTTACGGTGAAATTATGAAGGCAGGCTGATTCATTTGTATGTTATTTCGATTGAACTCGTGCATCCAATCAAACTTATAGGAATAAACCTATCAATAAGGAGATGGTGCTTGGAATACTATATTTATATCTACAATCGGCCTTCCAACGAAGGAGCGACAATCGGAAACGGTTATATGGATAAAAAAATGAATATATATATATGATTTTTTCTTTAAATCGCTACTCGTTACCATCACCATTACTCGTTAAACTCGCTCCACTGGCTTGTTACATTGAGCAATAACAGAGAGTCCCTTGGCGATAGAAATACAGGTGAGTCATCCGGATTTTTACTGCTAGGGGGAATAGAACCTCAGCATCAGCGCCCTCAATCGAACAACAATCTACTGAGCCATTCTATCCCGCCGCATATATATATATATATATACATATAGAAAAATTGAATTCAGTATGTTCGTTATAGGTTGGTTAAAAATAATTATTATTATAATTAATAAAATATTAATTATTAATAATGATTATAAAAGTAATAATTATTAATAATTGTTAATAACATAGTACATAACTTTATTAACTTAACCAGAATTAACCAGAATTAATTTACTTAACCAGAATTAACTTAACCAGAAATGGTAAGCGTTAACCATTTACTCTTATATTACAGTAAAATATCTATTTTAACGAACTTTGTGGATTCTTATAATTTCAAATTTTTTCGAAATTATCTGGAACATACATAAGTTTAGTATTATAAAGGGGTAATGAATATGTTGATACTATATTAATTAATACATTAATTAATATTAATGTATTAATAATAATTATACTAATATATAAAATATAAAAACCAAAGAATTAAGAAGATCTCAGTTGATTCGAAAAATTTCAGATAAAGCTATAGAATGATAAACTTAGGTTGCAAACTTTTATAAAAAGCCTCAATAAATCCTCTAGAAGCCATAAGAATTCTTTATTTGTTCATAGGTGCCGCGAAATGGTAATCCAAAACATTTTGATAATGCAAAATTAAGCCTATAATAAATTTTTCTCGGAATGATAGAAAGAAGCAATCGAATTCTTCTTTCACTCTTTAACACGACGTTCTAAGGCTGAATTCAACTTGGTCAAAAATAGCAAAAAAAGTCTCATTCTCCTGATTCTTCTAACTGAATGAAGCCAAGAAATTTTTGTAGAACATGACCAGAAGTTCAATAAAACAAATAGTTTTAAATAAAATATCATAATTATCAGTCAATCTTATTTAGTTTGACCAAGTTGAATTCAGCCTTACTGAAAATATAATTAACATAAATAGAATAGATCAACAGAATGGCAAATAGAAAAGCTATGAAAATTAGTGAATTATTTGCGACTTAAAACTTGGAGAAAGTTGGAGAATCAGCGAATAGTTTCTAAAGAAAAGGTCAAATACTGCAAATTTTGGTGGAGAAGGGCTTCTAATTGCGTTTGACATTGATCAATTTGCGATTTATGAGGTTGAATAATTTATTCTCTGTCAAATTCGATTAGATGAAATGTTACGTGCTTTGATTTGGAGATTTGTCGTATATTTAATCACCCAGTACAATGGTTTTTAAACTATGGAAGTTGAAGTTGATATAACTTTTATATTCTAAAAAACTAGCAAACTGTGCGAATTTCCGAAAGATTTTATTTAAGAAGGGAAACATTACATCATTTAATAAATACATTTTTCAAAAGTAAAAGTAAAAATAAACTTAAATTTTAGCAATAAATATCGACAAGCTTATCCTACAGCTTATTAAACAGAAGCGCAAACATATAAAATTTAGATAAAGGGCCAAAAAAGACAATAAAGAGCCCTTTAGGGATCCTCAATAATTAGTGCGAAAAGGGATTCTCGGAATTCAAAAATTATTATTATAAGTAGAACGAAAAGAATGAAATATTTAAGAATGAAATTCTTAGCTGCATTTGCAAGCCTAACAATTTCAGACGTCTTGCGATTATTTGCTTGTAGGCCAACAATTTTTGCCAAAAACAAGAGAATTAGCTGATAGCGTAATGGTTGAAAAATTAGGGCATTTCGTTTTTTTAAAGAAATATTTATAATAAATGTTTGGTTGAAGCTGTGATCCATTAATTAAGTAAGAAAGTGATTGGCAATCGTCATTTTTAATCAGGCCCACTCCACTAGTGGTTAGTTCGACGAGAAATTTTTGTCTTAGTGGTGAAAGTATAGATGTGAGATGAGATGAGATGGTGAAAGCCTTAGTACTTGTATGTATAAAAAGTAATATAAAAATAAAAATAATTCACCCGCTATTATAGTCGTCAGCATCGCCTGAACCAATTATAATAGCGGGTGAATTATTTTGAAATTAGTTTGAAAATTTCTAATTTATCATCATCAAGGAATGTAGACAGAAAAAACTAGAGGAATCTCAAATCTTCAATGCCTTAAAAACAATTTTAAAGAAGATTAAGCAAAAAAAAGAAAAAAAGAAATATTAAATGTTTTGCTAAAATATACAATGAATCCATTCGTTTTCTTCAATAAATTTCAGTGCAAAATCGCTAATGTTTTATAATTATCTGCCAAAGTTATTCAATTTTTTGAAGACCGTTTTGCAAATTATTTTTCAGCACCGAATTCCGAGACAATTTGTTGTCATCAGTACATAGAGAAGATTTATGAACTGTTCGTTGCGAATTAAAACCGCAAACTTTTTCCTCTTCTAACATCTCCTCACCATTTCTCGTTTAGCTGGATTGTTCTCTTCGCCATCTCACATTCGAGTATAAGTGGGTGCCCAGCACTACCTGGATTTGTGCGAGCCTTAATCAAGGCACAGGAGCTGAATGTGATGTTTTGCCTTCAATCGAAGTCTGGTTGTTCTGTACCATGTTAAATTAGTGCAAAATATTATTTGTGATAACGGCAGCAGCGGCACGGTTGTTGAATTTATTTATTTATTGATAACCAACCAAGCAGGGCGACAAGGCCATGTGCTTGTATTAATAATAACAATTAAGATAACAGAAAAAGAAAACACAAAACAAAAAAAAAATATATAACATAAACAAAATTAATTATAAAACAATATGACAGAAATTAACAATTTAAAGAGGAAATTACAGATCAATATAATATAGTACAATTCGAGGTAACATTTATAACCTGAAGATAAAATCGAGATTTCTCACTTCCTGCAGTTCTTGCCTGGTGTAAACTCTTCTCTTTTTTTTTTTTTGTTTTTAAATAATATCGTAAATGATATTATCTAGTCTTTTTTTAAAGACAGCTAGGGATGACGCACAAGCTACATCGTTCGGTAATTTGTTCCAGTAGTTAATAGTACGAATAAAGAAGTCATGGGTCCTTAGTTTAGTTTTGCATATAGGTTTTAGTAATTTTAAGCCATTAGTTCTTGTTGGATTCAAATTTAGTCTAAAATTATAATATTTTGAGCAATCTAGTTTAACATAACCATACAGAATCTTATATGTGTAAATTAAATCTTGTTTAATTCTACGAA